ACTTTTCTTGAAACTCTTTGATTTTCAATTAACTACTCGCTCTGTTGATCTTTGCACCTATCGATCCATAGCAGCTCAATATCCCATACAATACAAATCGCTTATTTCGCTGAACTACCAAAATGATAAGACGTAATTTACGATAAAACGTAAGGAAAACCAAACTGAACTCGAACTATTTAAACCGGCTATATAAGAAATACTGAATACAATTTAAGTATATCTATAACACAACTGGATGCAGAGCTAAAGAAACAAGCCGTTAACAGCTTCTGTATGTATGATAGTGCTATTTGTTCATTAGATTGATTTATTAGAAAAGCTTGTTTCAGCTGCAACTCGAGAGACGTTTGTATGCATATAAATGGAATACAAACTATGCAATTAGTGCGGGCATTGCGGAAATTTATGCTGCCACTTGCAACATGTTGACGCACTTGGCTGTAAAATTAGCCACGCTCTAAAAATGCAAAAAGACTGCAACAGAAGCAGCCAGCGAGACGGCGACGCGAAAATATAAAAAGCTTGAAACGAACAAATTAAATACGATAAGAAAAAAAAAGAAAATAAAATAAACAAAAAGTAAAACAAAACAAACAACGAAAAGTGCTCTAGATTGGGAGTTCCCGACTAGGAGATACCCTGTGCTATGTCTTTTTTAATCCATATTATATTAATATAACTCAAATATATATCTCAAGTCATTTTGCCCAAGAGCAAAAGTATGAAGCATAGCAAATCTGAGTATATCTTAGCCGATTCTATAGTCCGAATTTTATGACTCTACCTTCAGCTCCATAAAAGGTATATCTGGAACTGGATATTGTTCTAAATCGATTCAATGGATGTGCTAAATATTAATGCTGAATTGAGTTCAACTTGGTCCAGAATTTAATTTGTGGATTCAGCCATTCCATATACCCTGTTTACCCATTTTCAGGGTATGAAAACATTTTTGCTACAAGAAATGGGAAACTGCATTCGCTTGCCAAGATTTAATGAAATAAATAAATATTTACAGGCGAAATTAATGTAAATGCATTATTTTAGACACATTGTCAAGACGAAGAATTTGTTGTTGCTTTTGCTGTTGTTGTTGTTCCTATGTAAATATCTAAAATTGAATTTTTTATTTAGAGCGCAGATAAATGAAAATTGTAAGTAAATGTTCGCTCAAGCAGCTTAAATACCCGAACTCGCAACGCAGGCAAAGGGTATGCTCGACTTGCACTTGGTTGAAATCGAATCGAAATAAGTAGCAAAAGATTATTATAATATATACTATAATATATTTTAGTGATATTAAATTTAATTATAAATAAACATACATATTTTAGCTTATGTCTTTAAGATTTTGAGACTATTTTTGCACACATAAAATAGATATATTCCCTTTATCTATGCAGAATCTGGATATCTGTATACCTAGAATAGATTATATAGATAGATGTATATCGTTGCAGCATACTTTTGGGCACTTCCAAGGCTTAGATATATTCACCCCCGCTATATCATATTTATCACATATATGATAGCATTTGGTGCGGGTATAAACCAGTTGAGCATTATTTGTTTCCTAGTCAGCTTTTCAAGTACTATTAGATCTGGCCAGGGCCAGCTGGGGGCTGGCAGGAGGTGGAGGGGAGGTTGGGCCTTTCGACGGGGTTGCGAATGTATTTATATGCTAATTACATTTGCCGTGGCCTCGCCTCTGCCTCGGTGTGGAGGGAACTAAGTGAAATTAATCACATACGAAATGCAAGCACATAAATTGCCAGCCAGCTGATAGAAACTAGTTACAGAGTTCTAGAGAATACTGCACATATACATACACACATATCTGCATATGGAGAGACTATGCAGTCTATACTGTGTGCATGTCGAGTGAGCAGTTAAATCTTAAGTGGGCCTTAAACCGATGTCAATTTGTTCTCAGCTTGTTTGCATGCATTTTCACATTTTATGTTTCACAATTAGCGCAAAGTTTTCCTCTTCTATTTTTTTTCCTTTTTGTATGTGTATATTTTTCGCAGGCAGTAAAAGTGCTTGACTAATATATGTTTTATTGCATGCAACTTTTTGCAGTAACATGCTAACAACAGACAACAACAACAACAGCAACACCAACTAACAACAAATTCAATGCAGCTGCATTGCAAGCAAACTTGATAGAAAATTTTACTCGCAGTTGTGCAAACACTTCAATTGTTGTTGTTGTTGTTGTTTGTTGTTATGTCTTCCTATATCTATCTCTGCTAGCTATATATGTAGATATGCACATGACATATATATAAAAATATATGTTTATGTGTATTTTTTATATACATAAAAGTCAGCATTATTCGTTTTTCTTTTCGGTTTCTTTTTTTCTTTAATGATCTGCACGAAGTAAAATTTTAATTTATGTTTAAACTTAATTTAATGCCGGAAAATGCATAAATTGTTAAGCTTGTTATTTTGTATACCCTGCAGGCAATGAATTGGCTATGAGATGGTATTACGGTAATAAATACATTTATGTAACGGAAAGATAATCTTTGATCTAATATCTTAAAATTTAAGATTAAGATCATTCATAATCTGACAATTTTAAATTTCTGAAGATTTCAACCTGAAGGTAGAGATCTACATTTATGTAAATAAATGTAAATGTGGAAGGCCACACGATTCGGAGAGGTATGCTGGAGCTTATAGCTGGAGTATGTATAGAGTGAGTGCTAGTCGTATACAGCCGTCTAGAGCAGTCTTCATTTGCTTCTTCGATAGTTTGGCAATTTTCGCTGTCTTTTTGTGCAATGAAAATGATAAAATATATAAAATAATAATAATAAAAAAAATATCTGCACGGCGCAGCGCAAATGTCAAGCATTCAATTTTGTTGTTGTTGTTGTTGTTGCTGTTGACTTTCATTGCAAATAGCTGTCAGCTTTTGTTGTTGTTGTAGCTGTTGTATGTATATCGTTTAAATAATGTGTACTTAAAAATTGTTTGCCTTATTATAGCCATGGCTTTTTCGTAATTTCAAATGGCATTTTTTGGTAAAAATTATTTTTATTATTTGCATTTGCAGTTAACACTTAACACGAAAATTTGTAGTTGGACTTCAGCAAGATATTCAATTACGTAGCTGCCTTCCCTCGCCTCTCTCCCTCTCTTTCTCCGTCCCGCTCTCTCTTTCTCTCCCTCTGCTGATTGCTTGGCTGCATGCAAGTTGTTGCATAAGCTGCTCTAAAGTGGTTAGCCATTGCCGAAACAATTTATGCAGCAATTCGTGAATGTAATAAAGTAATTAAGCCCAAATATGTAAGCCAAGCCGGCAAATGGCTTCGCAAATGGAGGAATGAAACACAGCCTCCTATAGCCAGACCGAATATCAATTTATTTGCATTGCATTCCGGCCACAGCATCGCTCAAGGCTAAAATACACACACACACACATACATACACACGGTGATATACAGAGGTGCGTGTGTGTGTGTGTGTGACAGTCGAGATATGTGAGAAACTGTTAGCAGCAGCTGCACATAGACAAGAGCTAGAGTAGAGATTAATGAGGGTTAGCGAACCCTAAAGGGTTGATAAGGAATTTCGATTAAAGCGAGTATCGAGCATTGGGGGAACCTGGAATAACAATGCAGCACAGGCAGGGCCAACAGCTAAGGACGGCTCTCTCCGACTGAAGAAAGATGAGCACAAAAAGAGAGCTTGACACATGAGCATTACGGACTAAAAGCATACCCGGCATATTTGTAGGAAGAAGCTGAAGGCAAGTGCGATATATAGAAATATATTGTAGATAAATGAAATGTAAATGAGATATAAGCAAGGAACAGAGACAGAAAAAACAATTTAAGCATGCTGAAGAAATCAAATATTGTAAATTCTATTGATTTTTGTCAAGATTTGTTTTTTCTTTTGTCACATCTGATCTGGCTTGGATTACAGGGTATTTGTACATACTGAAAAAATTCCTATTACAGTAGAGATCACTGGGAAGTAAAGCAACATCTGATTAGATCTCAATATAACGAATCGTTGCTTATAGCCTATTCTATCCCAGTAGAGCTAATCTACAGGGTGTATAAAATTAGTAGATACACATGCTTTAGCATCGATGAGAAATGTGCAGATAATTGCAGTTTGTTTATGCTCTTGTTCTTTGTTTTTTAATCATAATTGTTGTTGCCGCTGCGCAGAATGCGAAAAGTTTAATTTATATGCGTAAGTTTTGCATGAATTTATAAGCTAAACTTTTGCTATGGGCCAAAGATGCAAGCTCCAAACCAACAACAACAGCAACAACTTATTGGGGATAGGTGGAGTGGAGTGGGGGCTGCCAACTTTTAATGTTGCATCAAAAAATTTATGACAGTTTGGCCAAAGTTTGGCTAAAAAATTACAAAAAGAAAAAAATGAGAGAGCGAGCTAAGAAATGCAAGGAAATATTGCAGGAAAAGAAAAGAAAAGAAAAAAACGAGAAGCAACTAAGAAAAAGCAGATGAAGATGAGAAAGAGCAAGAACATTGCCGGCACATGAGCATTTGTAGGCGTTGGGCGTGGCGGCCGTATTGCACATAAAGCACATGACGAATATATAGCAAAGTTTTATGAATTGAATTGCATAAATCAAGCAAAAAACTTGAGCCAGAGCAGAGCATGAGATGAAGTAGGGCAGGAGCGGATGGGCGGGGGAGGGCAGGTGTGTGCCACGAAGGAGCAGAGGCAGAGAAATTTGATGTCCAAGGTAGTGGCAGCCAGAGCCAGGGCTCGAGTCTGGGCTAACACGGAAATGCTGGGCAAAATAATGGATACTGTATACTTGATATGGTAATTTATTATGTTTTTATTGCCTTTTGTTGTGCGAGCCGTAAAGCAAATGCGGCCAGAGTTGCCGGACTGTCGGAGTGTCTGACTGGGGGACTGGCGGACTGGCAGTCTGCTTGGTTGGTTGGCTGGTTGACTGGGCTGGCAGCCCTTGCTGGTCATTAATCTTTGTTATGGCACACACACACTCACACTCACACTCACACACACAAACACACACGTGCATAGACAAATGGCTGCGTTATCCTTTTGCATTTCGGCGTAACTTGAGTCGCGGCTGCACGCATAATTTTCAATGTGTGCGTGCGTGTGCGTGTGCGTGTGTGTGCGCATGTGTGTGTGGTACAAATTTAATTGCGCAGATAAATTTGCGCAATGCTAATAAATTAATATTTATGTGCGTGCAATCCCTTAACTTACCCCTTCTTTATGCTCTCAATGTGTGTGTGCAATTGCATTTGCTTCTGCTGTTGCCGTTGCATTAATTTTTTTCTTTTTGGGTTTTTGTTGGCGTTCGGCCACGAATTTAATGCATCTTCAAAATGCATACACACGTCAATATGTATGTATGTCTATATACAGAAAGAGCACATGTTTACGTACATACGTATAAATATATACACATATAGAAATGAACAAATGTACATATGTACATATGTACATACATACATACATACATACATATGTGTACTACATTGTACAAGTGTTGTTGTTATTGCCGTTGCCTCTTGTGCGCTGTATTTTATCTCTTGGCTTTGTTGTTGCTGCGTTTTATGTCGTGCCATTTCAGCGAAGCTCGCAACAAAGCATAATAAAACTAATTGTCTGCGCTTCGCTCTCGCACACACAGCGCACAAACACACTCGCACACATGGACACAGAGGCAGCGCGGCTGAGTGACTGTGTGAGTGTGAGTGTGACTGAGTGAAAAAGAGAGCGGGCGAGCGTCCACATGTTTGCCATTCTGTTTCTGTTTCCTTGGGGCCGGCCAAACTATGCGACGGCAACTACAACAAAGTCAGCGACGCGTTGCCATAAAAATTCGCAAAAATTTAACACGCCGCATTTCGTTTATTTCAATTTGTGTTCTCTTTTCGGCTTTCTTCTGAGCGTTTCAGTTCTTGTTTCAGTTCTAGTTTCTGCTGCTGCTTTGCTGCTTCCCCCACTGCACCTACTTCCACCCGCCCGCTGCCCAGAAATTGCAATGTGTCGCGCTTGAGCAACGAAATTTATGCGACCCGCCATTTTGCCATTTTGCCATTTGCATTAGGCGGCCCAGCAAATTGTTCCCTGCTCTCGCCCTGCCATCCATCATTCACTCTCTTTACGCGCTCTCTATCTCTTATAAGCAAGAGCGCACTGTCTGCAATGGCCGACTGCAGCTGTTGTTGCTGTTGTTGTTATTGCTGCTACTTAATTATTTATTGAATTTGCTGGCATGTTCCTTTTAGCAGCTGGAAAGCTTTCAAAGTGAACAAAATGTAAACTGATCGCTGTTAGCGCGCGCTCTTATATTGCGTAGAAGACACGCAGAAAGCACATTTCCTGCTTTATGCTTTGCATTACATATTATAAGACAGAGTGGAATTTTTGTTCACGAGCTGTGAAATTAACATACAAATTTACTTAAAGCATTGCGCTTAACTTTCTTTGATTGACGTCAACTTGAATTTTCTAACGGCATTGTTTACCAAATTTCATAAGATGATAATTGCTAACTATTTTCCAGCGCATCGCGTTAGTTGAGTATTTGATTCGGAGACAGGTTTTCAGCATATGGAATGACGAACCGTCCAACCTGCTCCAGCCTCAAGAAATGCCAATAAGTGAATAAATGAGAGAGTACCTAAAACCAGTTTTCATTTATTCTTCTTCCTCTTCCTCTGCGTCGTTCCCTTCCTCATGCTGAATACAATGAATTCTTAGCAAAAACCTAATTTTATGCTCTATTGCAATTGTATTATTTTTTATTACACATTCGCGAGTATTACTAATACGCCCCATTGGCCTCATGCGATTTTCGCACGCTCATTAAAGACTCTCGCAGTACAGATTTTATACATGTATGTGTATTAATATATGTATATAATTCATTGAAATTTACCATGCGCTAATTTCTCGACTTAATGAATTCATTAGGAGCTCAAAAGAAAAATGAATTAATGTAAAAAACTGCACGCAAATGAATTATTAATTGGAGATCTAGGACGTAACTCCATTACTATGTATAAGTACACATCACAAATATATATTTTTTTTATATATAAATGTTCTCCCGGATGTCGAGAGCTGTGCGATTTTTGCAAGTGTAATTTTCTATTTTAAGTCTTTTTTTTTTTTTTTTGTTTCATCCTCGATTCGAAACAAATTGAAATTCGTGCTAAACTCAATCAAATATTGTTGAGCGGTTTCTTTTCTCATGTCTCTTTTATATTTGTATACAATTTTATTGATTATATTGACATGAGTAATTGAAGTTTGAATGCGATTGGAATGACAGTCAGAATGTGAATACTGAGTGGGTTAGTCAGCAATTGTCTTCCCTCTCTCTCCCTCTCTCCATCTCTCGCCGTCTCGCTTCCTCCTCTCTCTTTCACACTCTCCATCGATCTCTCGCTCATGCTCTTTAAGCTCTGTATCAATTTCGTTCGCCTGATCGCTAAGTAAACTCTAGATCAAGATCCATTGTCACGACCTCAAAAGTTCATGTGAATGTTGAAGTTGAAACTCGAATTCAAATTGCTTCGAGTTTCAAGTGCTTTAATTGCTAAAAATATATATTTTCATAGCTGATACCAATTGTTGATATTGTTGTCTTTCTAAATAATAAAGTGCACCATTTGCTCACGTGTTTATTTTCTTCTAGTTATTTTTGGAGTTCATGTTTTTTTTTCGTGCAATTATCTTATCATTAATGTTTAACATAAAGATAGAGCTTGATCGATACGATGGGTTTTTCTATTTTTATTTTTTGGAAACTTTGCTCTAGTCAAATTCAATCCTATAAAAACTATATATGCATATATAATTACATAAGTTGTCAAAATTTAATTGAAAGCTCAAAGTTTCATTAACTTTAACCCAATATTTTTAATCTATTATTTTATTTGATGTGCTTCCAAACAAATGCATATCACATATTTCTGTACGGAAGATAATATATATGTGTATATACGAATTTTCTCTAAGCTACGATTTAGATAAGTGGAAAGCACTTTAGAAATCTATTATAAAACAGCTCTATATACATTCATATATATATTTTGTGAAGCACTTCTCATATCTTTGCTGAATCTCCTTCAACTGCTTGTCTTTTATCCACTTTATATTGCTCAGTGCTCCACCTATCAATCAAAAATTCGTTCCATAAGCTCATTTGATATATGTAGAGAACAAAAAATGATTTTGTTGCTTTGGAAACATTATTCCAGATTTCTCGTTCAATGATTGATGCGTTTGAGTTTAAATTTGAATTTGAATTCGAATGTGAATTGAATTGAATTGAATTCGGTAGGTAATAGGATCCACTTACTTTTTTTTATTACTTTTGTGGATTAAAGTTGCCTTTTTCGATTCGGGGGAGCGAGGACTATATGGGGTCTACTTCAGTCAATTCTTGATTTGATTTTGTTTCTCGATTTGTTGTATTTCAGTTTTGCGTCTGTTAATTTGTTATTATTAGTTGCTGTTGTTGGTGTTGTTGTTATTTTAGAAATAGATTGCACGGAATTTTAAGTATTACTTAGTTGCCTTTTTTACTACTAGAATATTTATATATATTTTAATTGGGCTTTGTTTTGTTTCGATTCGCTTCGTTTCTGCTTCGCTTTGCTTTACTTTTCGCGCAACACTTTAAACAATTAAATTGTTATTTAATTTATTTACACATTTATTGCTACAGTTATTTGTTGCTATTGTCAGACACTGTTGCWGCACCTCTTGTTGTTGTTGCTCATTTGTTGCACTTTTCATTTCAATTTGAATTCTATTTTCAATTAAATTTTTTGCTGAGCGCGCGCAAATTTTGTTGCTGCTTGATCATTTGCTCGACTATCAACTATCTATCTATCTCTTTCGCTCTTACACTCTTCTTCTCTTTCTTTCAATCTCTACACACTTCACATATATATGTATATATATACATATGTATATATAATATGAGCTGATAACGAAATCACATTTTTCAATTGGCAACTGCCCCAAATTTCGTTAGTTATTTGTGTTGTTTGTTATCTATTAGCTGTTGTTGTTGTTGTTGTTGTTGCTATTGTTGTCGATGATGTTGTTGTTGTTGTTGTTGTATGTGTGTGAGTCACATTGGCAGCATTGCTGCCACTGCTGCTTCTTCTGTTGTTGTTGTTGCTGCTGCTGTTGCAGCAACGGAAATAAACAATCAATTTTAGTTAAAGAATGTATGCACGCACTTAGCGACATTAGCACACACACACACAGGCTCAAGCACAATCACACGCACACACACAGAGGCGCACACACACAACAGGCGCACAGGCACAGATAGAAGCACGCACGATTGAATTAAGCACGCGACTTTCGCATGCAAAGATTTTGATTTGGATTTTGTGACGCGTGTTTGAGAATTCTCAACAATGTGTGTGTGTGTGTTTCACCACTACCAATGCACACGACGAAGCAGGAGGCAGAGGCGGAGACTGAGGCCGAGACTGAGGCCAAAAACTCAAAACTCAACCGTTGGGCAACCGTTGAGTAGTCGGAAAGCGCGCTTGCCGTTGCCGACGTTTCACCGTTACGTCCTCGAGGAATCGCGTTTACAGAATGAATCTGAATCTGAACGTGTGGAGTGTAAGGCAGCGTAAAAGATACAGATACACCAATACACAAACACAGATACGTACGGCAACGACGGCGGCGACGACGACGACGGCAACGGCAACGGCGACGACAACGACAGCGACAGCGACAGCGACAAGCAGCAGCAGCAATTGGCGTTGCCTTTGCTTGCTTGTGTGAGTGAGAGTGTGAGTGAGTGAGTGTTTGTTTGCGTGCGTGTGTGTGTGTGTGTGTTTTGGCTGTGGAGCCGCTGTTGCCACGAGAGCGCATGCGAGCGCCCAGAGAGCCAAAGACGAAGAAGCAAGCGCAAAAGGCAACAACAAAAAACGTGTTTGCCGCCATTACGAGTCACTATGTGTGCGTCCGTGTGTGTGTCTCTCTCTCTCAGAGAGCGAATGGGAGAGCGTAAGCGAGAGAGCGTATGCTAAAATCAACAACACTAACACCGGCTGCGACGACTGCGGCAGCGACGTCGACGTCGGCGCAGCTCTTCGTTATTGCTGTGTGCGTGCATGTGTGAGAGTTGCTACGAAAAAAGGTAGTAAAAAATAACTGCGGTAAACCGAAAAAGGCACAAAAAATTGAAAACGAAAACGCAGCAGCAGCAGCTACGACCACAACAACGCAAAGACAAAAAACTCAACGCCAACAAAGGCTCAGCCGGAGACGGCGACGACGTCGGCGGCGAAGTTAGTGTTTACCGACTGGAAGGAAGAGAGGATAGACGGGCACCGCTCTATCCCACTTCCCCCTATCCCAGATATGCACCTAAAATGCTTTGCAGTCAAATGCGCCGCGTTTAGTTCTTTGGCATTTTTGTGCGTTGCGGGCGTTCTTTTCCATGCGTTTCTCTTCACTCTTACACCATTTTCAAAAAATACTCTGATAGTGAAATGCTGGAAATAGCATTTGTCACGTCAGATTTGCAGATCATTTCAGATAGAACTTTGAGCTACTTACAAAGCGGGCGACATGAAAACTAGACTGGCAGCCAAACGAGTTGCGGTAACTTACCTGCAATTAATAAGAAGAAGAAAATGCAAGTTAGTTAGAAATTCCAATCAGAGTATGTATTTGCTTGTATTATTTCTTAATTATAGGATTAATTATGATTTATGAATTTTAATTATAGGACCCTGTCATTAATTTTAATTAGAATGATTTGATGAATAATTAAACATTTCTTTATTTAATATGAACTATAACAGCCAATTGCTGGTACGCTCAACTTGTCCGTTCGTTTGCTTACTMAATACTAACATAAGTTTATCGACTTAACCGATAATTGATCTCGATGCGGCTCTTCATTCGCCGATAATAATGAAAGCTACAAATTATGCTAAAAAATGACAAATATGCTAAAAAATGATAAATGTGCAAAAAAATGACAAATGGTTTCTCAACATGATTTTTTGTAGAAATTTCAGTCATTGGAATCGTAAATTCCCATAACTATATTTGATTTCCAATTGGACACTAAATGGTTCCAATTTGTTCTTATTTTAGTGATTCCATAGCCAAATGAATTGATGTAATCCAATTTAATTGATTGGACGGATTTAAGATGGGCCCAGTCTAGTATTTCCAATTGGATCGCCAAACTGACGCATTGCTGGATTGATGTGAGATTAATGACTGACTTCAACAGCTGCATTTATTGGACGTCTCGAAAGATTTTCATTCTTGTCACAACAGGCTATCTATGCATGTGTGCGTGTACGTGTGTGTTGTGTGTCTGTTTTTGTTTTTACTATTTTCTCTTGCTACGCAACTCATTTGCAAAACTTCAGCCGGCAATATTTCATGCCACCCATTAAGCGAGTCCCGTCAGCCCCGCCCCTGCCCGCAACTAGTCAACCAACCAATTTCCGCCCCCTCACACACACACACACACACACACACAGACGCACGCACATGCACGTGGGAGAGTTTCGCACACAGCGTGGAGAGGTGGAAAAAGTGGCTTCATTACAATTTTCAATTTTGTTTTATTATATTCTTTGCTTTGCTTTTGTTTGTGTGTGCGTATGTGTGCGTGTGTGCCTGTGTGTGTGCGAGTTTCTGCTTATTTCCTTTGCAAYGTTATTTTTATTATTATTATTATTTTGCAAAGTTGCTTTGCCATTTCCTTTTGTTTTTTTTTTTTTCTTTTTGCCATTTACCATTTAGAGCGAACGTCAAAAACAAAAAGCAAAGCAAAAGCAATTGAAAGAGGAAGACGAAGAGAAGGCAAAATGCTTTTATAATTTTCATGAAACTCAGAGCAGAAGCAGAAGAAGACCAAGTAGTGGCAGCAGCATCGACGACGGCTGGCAAAATCATCAGCGTGCGGCGCAGCTGTTGTCTAGTTATTTATTTTGCTTTTATTTTTTACCATTTGTTTATTTTTTGCGCAAATTCGCTTTGTTGTCTTTTGCTACTGCAGCTGCAACCATCATAAGTTTAATTCTTGTAGTTTCCATTTTAGCAGCGTTGTTCTAAGCACCTCTGCCCCTTCCACCAGCCGCCAACGACAAGTCTTCAGCTAGCAACACCCACCATCGACCTCTTTTCAGATCTGGAGCTGGAGATGCGAATACCAGCAGCGGGAGCAAAGAGGAATGAACAATGAATGCAAAGAGTGCGAGGAGTGCAAGGGGGGCAATCGCAGTCTCTGTCGCTGTCGCAGCCGCAGCCGCAGCATATGCCGGCTTCTTCTGCTTCTTGCTCTTCTTCGGCGACAATCGTCAACAAAACTGCAACAGCAATGGCAATAGCACCAATACACTCTCAGATGCTGAGCAGAGCGCGCGCTCTCCTCGTATAAAGTAGCAGTCAATAAAAGCAGCGAGCAGAGCTATAGCAGCAACAGCAACAACAACGAGAGCAGCAGCGAAGCCTTGGGGTCATTATTCTCTTGGTCTTGGAGGCGCTCGCTGCTGCCGCGCATTGACGTCGCTGTCGCYGTTGTTGTTGTTACTGTTGTTGCCGCTGCTGCAGCATAGCCTTGGTGGTTGCTGCGCTCACGCACACACACACGTATTGGGGAGACAGCGCTGCATATGTGTGTGTGTGCGCTTATGCATGCGTGTGTGTGCGCCTCTCCAAACAATGTAATAAAATTCAATTATTCTCATGTGCGTCTTGCACTTTGTTTCGTCTGTTGTTGCGCGCATTTCGCGAACAGCCGCCACAAAATGCCAAAAGGCGGAAAGTACAGGCGGCGAAGGCATTGGAAATGCAAATGCAAATGCAAAGACGAAATGGAAATGGAATCGCTTGAGAAGAGAGCACACTACGCCAGGGCAGGGCGGGGGAGCATATCTATACAAAATATTTCCCTCAGCCGCCGACGCAAATGCACACACACACATACACGCATACATATGTGTCTGTAAATACATGTGAGCTCACTCACACACTCGTGAACTTTCTTGGCTGCCTTCGCTGTCGCCGCAGTCGTCGCTGCACTTTGGCGTTGGCGTTCTTTCTGCGTTTTGCCTTTTGGCTCTTTTCCTTCTCACATGCCTCAGCAGCGACGACAACAGCAACGGCGGCAGCAGCAGCGCTTCTCATTTCTTTGTTGTCTCGTCTGTTGTTGTTTCTGCTGCTGCGGCTCATTTTGCATAAGCTGCCTGCAATATTTGTGCAGTTCGCTTTAACGAAATTTCTTTTGGGACGTTTTCTTATTCAGCTGCTGCTTCTTTAACTAATGCGTCTCTTGCGGTTGCCAATTTTGCTATTTTTACTAATTTTGTGTGCTGCTTGTTGTTGTTAATTTGGTATTTGGGGGCTGCGCTTGCATATGTCTGCCCACATCCAACTTCACACTGCAGCGCTCTCACCTCATCCACACTCACACACATGCGTTTGCTGTCTCTCACTCACTCTCTTTCCCTGTCTCTTTGCGACTGCTCTCTCTTGCGCTCTGCGCAGGCGCTGCATTGATTGTTTGTGTAATGTAAAAACGTTGTAAGCTCACCCTTCAACCCGTTTGTTGTTGTTTCGCTGCCGTTGTCAGAAGTGATTCTGGCTGCTGTCTTTGGGCAGCCGTATCTGTTTCAAGGCTCTAATCAAAGCTGGCCAAAGTTGACATTTGACTGCTGACACCCCTCACAGCATTTATCATGACTCTTAAACCGACAGTTTTATGCACCGCAGAAATGCTTGCCAAACTGCAAAGCAGAGCGAAGAACAAATAAGGAAAACAAAAGCAAATAACGCACTCGCTGTCGACGCCGCAGTCGCTGTCGCTGTAGTCGTGTCGTCGTCGACGTTGACGTTGGCTTTGGCTGAGGCTGAGGCTGAAGCAGAGGCGTCCATTGCCTGCAGCGTATTTTGTAAATTACGTTTCCGGCAATAAATTTGCATACCTCTGGCATCTTTCTAAATTGCTATCGTTTGTTAAAGGCGCCACCCGAAAGTCTCTCTGCAGATAGCACACTGAAAGCACCACCAACCCCCTACGCCCATGCACCACCCCGTCCAGCCGCAGCAGCAGCAGCAGCAGCAGAGGCAGCGGCAGCTTAGCCACCCCGAAAGCAACGTGGGCGGGGAACACCTTCTAATCTCCTTCACCCCCCAGCCTGAACCTGCGCGGCCGCACCTTCTTCAAATTCCTCTTGTTTCGCCTCTTCCTCAACTTCTCACTTTGCTGCTGCTCATGCTGCTCCTGCTGCAGGGCTGGGGGTAGTTTTGTAGCGGCACCTTCTTCAATACCCATTCAATTGTCTGGCAATTAAAAGTTGCGTTGCCAACTGCCTTTGGAAAAGACTTTCACTGCTGGCTGCCTGAAGTTGGCGCTCCAGCCAGATTCACCTAACAAAAACGGGCCGCAAAAAACGGAGCTGCAAAAAATACAACAAATATTGCGCCTGGCTGCAGGACTGCTGTTGCTGTACAACAGGTTGTTGCATTGCGACTACGACTGCGAAGTACGTGACGTTAAAAATAGTTGCACTTGTTGTTGTTGTTGTTGTTGTTGCTTTGAACTTGCATTACACGTATCCCACAGAGAGGGAGCGAGGGAAAGCGCAGGGGGCGGGGAGCTAACGGGTGGCTGACAGCTACCAGAATCCAACGTTTATATA